AGTCCCATTCTACAACAGTGGCATCATGTAATATTTGTCCTTTTGTGACTGGGATATTTCACTCAGCATAATGTTCTCCAGAGTCAAGAGGAAAAAAACTTTTGTGAGCTCTTTACTGCTCTACCACTTCTGCCTAGTTCAGGGGTTGAGAAACTATAGCTTGTGAGGTAAAAATCTGCCTGCTGCTTGATTTTGAACTCTTGGGAGACAAGAATTCTTTTTCCACTTCAGAACAGTTCAGGGGGTAGGGAAACCACCTCAAAAGACAGGTAGATATCATGACAGGTGAAAAAGCACATGAAATTCAAATTTCGCCATCCATAGATAAGGTTTTATTAAAACATAACCACACTTACTTGCTTACGCAGTGTCTCTGACTGCTTGCACACTGGACTGGCAAACTGAGTAGACATAATCTAGACTGAAGGGCCCTGAAAAACCCAAGAATTTATGATGTGGCCCTTTACAAGACAAGTTTACCAACCTTGTTCTACAGAAGTGTCCTATCTGTATAGCAGCTGCTTGATTTGATGCAGATTCCCAGGGAAAGTAGACTATGAGGCGGAGATTGGTGTGTAAGTGTGGTCTCAGGAACAGCTGTAACTGAAAAGGTAGTATCCCTTCAAAATGCTTCCAAACTGAGACAGTGGAGTTGGTCTTTGTATTCCAGCATTCAGGATGGGACTTAACTTTACCTATTCCCATAGTGGGAATCAACTGTGAGTCTTCCTTACTTAGACTCCCAGCAGATGCTGAAAGGAACCAGCCCTTTGTCCTAAAGGAGCAAGCTGAATAGAGAAAGCTGGCAGCCTCTTAATTTCTTAATAAATATCTGTGGAAAATGGAAGCTTGGAGGCATAGCGCATAGCATGTCCGGGCTGCCAATTGAAAGGTCAGTAGTTCAAATCCACCAGAAGTTCTTTGGGAAGACAGTAGGCAGCCTCTTTCTGTGAAGATTACAGCCTTGAAAATCAGAATAAGGCTTGTGAAGAGTCATAAATATTACAGAGCAGGAAACCCTGCTCTTTCACATGGTTCACTATGAGTCAGAACTCAACAGTACACAACTACAACAAAGTAGTTATATGCTAGGTGGCAAACTCTGTGTTAGGATTTTTGCACCAATTATCTTATTTAGTTTTTATAACATTCTCATAAGAGACTGTGTCTATTATTTACTCCTTGTTACAGATGATCCAGGAATGCTCAGGATGGGTAAGTAATCTGATAGCACACAGTGCGTGGTGTGCTATTCCAATCCATTAATTCCATTTAATTTGAAATCTTTATTCTTTTTTTAATTTATTTTTTTTTAAATCTTTATTCTTAACCATCACTATCTGTTCACTCTTGTTGACTACCACATATGTCTTGATGAAAACTACTTTTCTACTCCAAGGAAAATTATTTCAATTGTTTTCCTGTTGTAATGCCAATTTTTTGTGTGTTTTGCTTGCTGTAATGTTTATCTGTTACCCATCTCACCCACTTCCAGAATGCAATCATTCATTTATTCATATTTTTATACTGCCCCAAACAATACTGGTCCAAAATAGGCCTCCAATTATTATTTGTCAAATATTAATAGTCCTGGGGTGTCAAACATGAGACAAATGGAAGCCCTGTCAATACAAAGCCCAGATAAGTCTGACTGGAAGAAAGAAAATTATAAATGAGGTTTCCTTTTCAAGGAGAAAAGTAATTGAATAAATGAAGTTTACTTTCTCACAGCAGATTAGAAAATAGGATAATAAAATGTGTTATCATGAAATATCATTATAGTTATTTCCCCTTTTCCTTACTGAGAATTAATTCGCTCTGAAGCAGATGGCTCATTTTTCAATGAGCATTTAGTTGATACTGATTTGTTTGTTTTGGTTGAGGCACTCCCTTCCAAGTACACACAGGAATGACATGCATATGTGTGCTCACACTTGCACACACACACACACACACACACACACAGAGAGAGAGAGAGGAGGCCCTGTCCCTCATTATGGCTGCTATACAGAATTACCATGTTGTTGTGAATCAGCAAGTTGGAACCGACCCATAGCTGGCCCTCTGGTGGGTTTTCTGAGGCAGGTAATCGGACGGGAGGAGATTGCCAATCCTGCTCCCTCAGAGCAGCCGGTGGCCTCAAACCTCGTGCCTTTGGGATTGCAGTGCAACTTCTTGTAGAATTACCTTTGTTCTTGTTATGTGCCGTCAAGTCACTTGCAACTCATAGCGACCCTATGTACAACAGCTCTAAACCCTGCTCTATCTTGTGCCAATCTCACTGTTTGGGACACACCCACCCCGATTACCCCAGTCACTGAGTCAGTCCATCTCATCGAGGGTCTTCCTCTCCTGCGCTGTCCCTCCACCCTTCCAAGTATGACGTCCCTCTCCAAGGACTGATCCCGCCTTGCAACATATCTAAAGTGTGTCAGACAAAGCCTCAAAATCCTTGCCTCAAAGGAGCAGCCCAGCTTCACCCTCTCCAGGACAAACCTGTTTGTTTTCCTAGCAGTCCATGGTACGTTCAATACTCTTCTCCAGCACCGCAGCTCAAAGGCATCAATTCTCCTACCCTCCGTAGTCATTGTCCAACTCTCTGACCATAGAGGAACTTAAAAGTCCATGAATATAGTAACTGGCAGTCCTGGAAGTGAGAAGTCCTAAATCCTGCTTGTTAGGCATTCCCTCCAGAGACAGTAGGGTACACTCTGTTTCTGTGCCTTTTACAGTTAGTTTCTAACGGCTGCTTGCTTGCTTGGCTTCCTTGCCTCCCGTTTCTGCATCGCTCTAACTTCTGCCTCTCTTGTCACTTCCCTTCTGTGACTTTGTCCCTCGTGCCTCCCTCCTGTAAGGACTCTGTCCCACCAGATAATCCTGGTTCACCCAGATAATCAAGGATCATTTTTCCATCTCCACTTTCTTAATTTAATCCCATCTGCACAATCCTTTTTTACCAAGGGTGGAGGGACAGCGCAGGAGAGGAAGACCTTTGATGAGATGAATTGACTCAGTGACTGGGGTACTGGGGGTAGGTGTGTTGGAGATAGTGAGATTAGCACAGCATAAAGCAGGATTTAGGGCTCTTGTACATAGGGTCACTATGAGTCGAAGCTGACTCCACGGCACATAACAAACAACAAGGTAACATAGCTACAGGCTCTGGAGGTTAAAGCGTGGGCATCTTTGGACAGTGTTATTCCACCTCCTACAAACAGTAATAGGATAATTTCTTTCCTCTAGATCAGAAATTTGCACGTATGGCTTCAATTCCCTTTATTCAAGATGTGGAAATCCAGGTTGCCTTATGTAGAAAATAGTTTATTTCCTGTTCTGCCACTTCTCATCCCCAGTAAAGTGTTTTGGTTGGTTCACCCCATCCCCATCCACATTATTCCGTGTTT